ATGACGCAGCATTGTTTACACCTGACATCACAGAACGCCCATATAAAAAACATTTGCTATGATTGTGATGTTTGCATAGTTTATTGATTTGTTACAATTAAAAAAAAAAAAGTATTTTTAAGGAAAATACTAAAAAGACATTGTAAAAGATGGACGATAATGACATAAAGCATCTTTGTAATTCGATGTATAATTAATGACATTAAGTGCCTGATTCAACTGGTATCATTACAAATATCAGCTTTTTTTTGTAGGGCCAAGTACAATGTGTAAACCGTATGGACCTGCACTTGAGGTGAGCATAGATAGGGGGGCGTACGGCCGCGTAGTCCCATAGAGAAGGACGGGGCATGCGTATTATTCACACGCAGCACCTGTCCTTCCCGGGAGATGCCCGATACGGCCCTGCACGCAGCACAGAGCTGTACGTGCCGGCCTTTTCTAGTGTGAATGAGGGCTTAAAGTGCAACCAATTGGAGTTCATTGTTCACTGGTGTTGAAAACAGTAATCTGAAATCTCAATTTGTATGTCATCGCTGCTCTTTGGCTTTAATGGCTTAAAGAGACCATGTCACCAGACCACTCATTTCAACAACAATCTCCCAGTAAAATTATATGTGTATTTATTGTATTTTTTGGGTGTTATTTAGCTGTAAAATCCTCCTTTGTGTAGACATGTAAAAACTCTGACACTGCTGAACTGCTGCTGGGTGCCACCATCATGGATGTGATGTCCTTGTTTTCAGCAGACTCAGAGCTATCACTTGAGTAACTCTTTCATATTCCCCTTCACTCCTACTCTCCCTTCCTGGCTGCTACATACAATGTTATGTAGGGAGCTAAGGGGCTGCCCAGGTAGTAATTAGACTGGGGGAGGAGAGCGCTATCGTGCAAGAAAGGAGGAGGCTGTGCTAAGGAATTGACTCTTCCAAAGTAGTCAGATTAGTAGCACATTACAAGTCAATAAAAATGATGGAAAGCAAAAACACTCCAATTAAGCATTTCAAATATGTGATTTTGTCTGTGCTTTTACTTTCAATGTTTTACATGGGGGACAGAATATTTTTAATAAAACAAGGCCAAATGTGACCTGGGTGGTTATTAATCGGTATCTAATTTTTAAGTTTCTGCGGAAGCTGTGTCAATAACCAGTGGAAATGGAGAGGACTGAGAGTGGGGAATCTACTGCTGAGGACTTCTGAGCAATAACAATTCTCATTTTTTTTAAAGTGGATATCCATAAAAAGCATAATGTTTTATAGACATCCTCACAGCTGTCCTGATTTTGGCATCCATTGATGTGGATTCACCTAAATATGAATAGATAGTGAGGGTCTTAGCCCTCAATCACACTGGAATCGGCCGGCACGTACAGCTCCGTGCTGCGTGCAGGGCCGTATAGGGGCAGCTCCCGGGAAGGACAGGTGCTGTGTGTGAATAGTTTTGCAGCCCCTGCCCTTCTCTATGGGACTACGCGGCTGTACGCTGCCCTACGCTTACGTCCGTGCGGGATGGACAGGATGGACGGGATGGACGCAGACAGGATGGATCCTGTCTGCGTCCGTGTCAGGAAACACGCACCCGTATGGACCTGCACTTGAGGTGAGCATAGCGGGGTGTACGGCCGCGTAGTCCCATAGAGAAGGACGGGGGCTGCGTATTATTCACACGCAGCACCTGTCATTCCCGGGAGCTGCCCGATACGGCCCTGCACGTAGCACAGAGCTGTACGTTCCGGCCTTTTCTAGTGTGAATGAGGGCTTAAAGTGCACCTAAAGTCAAGGCCATTTTTCTCCTATTACTAGCACATTACCTACGTTAGCCCTAAGATCACAGGGACATGTCACATACTTATCTTTTTGGAGCCTCCAACTTATGTTTACTGTTGGATCACTACTTCTGGGTCTGAGAGGTGGACAGGTTCTTTGTGTAGGCAAAGACACCGAAAATAGCAACCCACCAGTTACATAGTTACATAGTATTTGAGGTTGAATAAAGACATTAGTCCATCAAGTCCAACCTATTAGGATCTCATTCTAGGAGTACCCGTACCCCTGTATATTACGGTCCCTTAAGAAATCGTCCAAAAGTTTCTTGAACAATTCCACATTATTTGCTGAAATCACCGCCTGTGGCAGTGAGTTCCAGACCCTAACTGATCTTACTGTGAAGAACCCCCTTCGCACCTTGTGCTGGAATTTTTTTTCCACCAATTTTAGGTTATGGCCTCTAGTTTTTGTAACGGAGTTAATTTTAAACAGTTTATCGCTAATGTTGCTACCACCATTAAACATTTTGTACATGGAAATCATATCCCCCCTTAATCTCCTCACCTCTAATGTGAACATGTTTAAATTTAGTAGCCTTGTCTCGTAGCTCTGGTCCTCCATACCCCTAATTAGTTTGGTTGCCCTTCGCTGGACTTTTTCCAACTCAAGGACATCTTTTCTTAGTACTGGTGACCAGAACTGGACCGCGTACTCCAGATGAGGTCGAACCAATGATCTATAAAGTGGCAAAATTATAGACTTGTCCCTGCAATACATCCCCTGTTTAATACAGGACAAGACCCTGCTAGCTTTGTTTACAGCAGCCTGGCACTGCAAACTACCTTTCAGTTTGTGGTCTACAATGACCCCCAAATCCTTCTCCATTTCTGACTTCCCCAGCGGCAGTAAGCAGAAGAAGTTGGAAAGTTCTGATAGATAACAATTGCCGCATCTCCTGGTGGTGCCAGTATTAGCTTTGGTTAGGTGTCAGCAGAGGGGAAGGACATAGCGATAGCTGCATACACTGTGTCATAGGGTGCATGGGACAACCCTAAATTTACTGGAAACCACTTCAGTGAATAACTTAAGCCCGGCAATACAACCTGGATGGGTATGGGGAGTGAAGATATATCTGCTTTCCCATACGACAATACCTCAGCAACCTATTGTCCGGTACAAATTTAGTTGGGTTGGGGTTTAGCTTATGCAAATATTGACTTTAAGAAAGTTAATATTTGCATAGGATATTTATGATTTGAAGAGGTTCCTCATAGAATGCTTATACATGTCACGGTCCATATAACACAGGTTTCAGTTTTCTGAAGCTTCCATTTTGTTCTTCTTACCTGTAGGCTACTTCTGGGTCTGATCCATGGCTGGGGGTGGGATTTGAGTGAAGGCACGGATTGACTGTTCCAATAGAGGCAGTCAAGCAATCCCTCTACTGGAACATGTATCCCAGCGGCTGCTCAGACCTAGAGGTAGCATCCTTCTAGCAAAATGGAAGCTCCAGAAAGGTATTTTTGTAGCTTCTGGTGAGCTTATTGGTTGCTTGGATCAGGGGTTAGCAGGGGGAAGGGAAAACGTTATAGCTGTATGGGCTGTCCTTACATGCATGCTACTTAATAGTTCAGTATTGATCTCAGGTACAGGTTTACTTTAAAGCAGTCAGAATTCCAATTAAATATTCAGTTTGTTCGTTTCTAGCCACACGGAATTTAATTGGTTGGTTCAAACAATAAGTTGCTGTAACTTACATTTAATGAACAACTTTGCACAACAAAGCATTTCTAAATCTGTTTACTATTCAGGCAACAATGTAGTAGTGCCTAAAGTGTATCTTAAGTCAAAACATTTCTGGGATGCAGTAGGGAAGGATTAAAACCTCTGTCAACTTTCTATAGCTGCTTGTGTCCATTCACCCCTCTATTGATCCTGGTGACCATTACCATCAGGATTAAATTAAAGTTGTCACCAAAACAAGAATATTAATCTATTTGTTCTGGGGACACATGAGAAGGAATTTCCCCCAAGTTTGAATACATTTCCTCTAACGTCCTGTTGTATCTATAGGTATTACCTTTCTTTAAGCAAAATGAAAAAAAAAATATGCAAATTGTTTTGCCTTTAGATACATGCTGTGTAAACAAGATAGGCTAAAATAAATTCTTGTACAGTTTGTTGGCTTTGAAGGGACAGCCCTGAAATTACATGACATGAAACAGACACCTCTATATCTCTAGACATTCATTCCTATGTGGCAAGTTCACATCTACACGCTGCAACATAAATGAATGGTAATTAGATTAAATGCATATTTTCTAAAAATTAAAAGAGCACAAGAGAGAGCATAAAGATGATTGGAGGATGACAGTACACCAGGAAAATTAACATCCAATGAGAGCGGTGGCTCATTATGTATCCCTATCAACCACCAGCTGTTGTGAACTTCAATCAAATTGTCATCTTGCCTCCCATCTTCCCTATGTTGCAGCTGTCCTTGTTGGGGGCATTGTCATCCATCTTTGTGGGTAAAGAGCAAATATGTTTTTTCTGTTGGTTTATTAAAAAGGCTAAAATTAAATTTACATTGTTTTAAAGAACTCCAATAAAGGGCCACATCCATCTTTTGTCATGGTATTGGGATGGGTGTATTGTGAAGTTGTACAATTCCATGTGTAAGAAAAAAGAAATGTTGGTCACGGTCCCATTCATCGCCAGGGCTGGATTTACTCTCTCTGCTGCCCCAATGCCAGGTTCCTCAATGCGCCCCCCCTGTATACAGGCTGCATACAAGTGATCTCGGCGACGTCGCTGAGATCACTTGTACAAAACAAGCGGCTGCTTCACCGCTGTACATTTACATCTACATTGCCCAAAGCAGGACTAAATGTAGAAAACAACTACCCCCCCGGCGCCCGGAACTGCATGTCCTGGGCGTCAGGAGATAGGAATTCCACACCCCTGCTGCCCCTCTACTCCCAGCTGCCCCGAGACCGGGCCTTGGTTGGTCTTGTGGGAAATCCAGCACTGTTGATCGCTACATCTGAGAAAACTATTTCAGACAGGGTTGCCTTGCATAAAGTAACCAGTAAGTCAGATTCTGACTATCCTTCCTAGTTTTGAAATGTGAAAGATAAGACGGTACAGGCTGTTTTTTTACTAAAACACCTTTTTCAGCACTCTACAAAAAACAGGACATAGGTGATATAATAAGAGTATCACGGAATTCTGGTCATTTTTGTGACATCATCACGGTCAGAATATCAAAGGACAAGGGAAAGTAGAGATCCAGACATGGGCCCAGTCTAACACTCAATTAAGGTTTGGGAGAATGGCATAAAAGGACATATATACAAGGCACGTTATGTATCTACATATATACAGCGCGTACCAAAAAAAGGGGAAGCCTAGACAACAAACAGAAATGGTGAGGAGGCATACAAGGAATGATAGGACAACATGGAGCAAAATATTGATTACTGTGTGAAATTCTAGCTATGAAATATCTACAGTCACAAGTCAAATGTTTTTGTACGGATCGAGGGTCCTGTCCAGGATGTTTGGACCTTGGCTGTTGCCCAACTCACATGTATCTTTTTATACAATATGGCTTATTAGCGGTGGGGAGGCCATATTGCGGCTGCATGATCTGGAGACTGGACTCCGATCTGATTGTCAGATACATCACAGTGTCTTTCTTGCAATATCAGGAGCTTCAAAATGGAGCCACAGTCTTAACATTTTTGTTGTTGTTGCTGGTGGCCATAGGCTCAACTGTGGCATGTCCAGCACACCCCTCGCCTCGTGGCTTGGAAATAGTCTCCCATCTATCCTGCCAGGCTTCAGTTAACAGTGGAAACCTGGCTGTGGTGCAGACTGAACTCCTTGGCTTTAAGGCGAAGGCTGGCGATGCTGTCGGCCATGTTGACTCCTTGGGTGGGCATTGTGTTTGGTGCAGAGGTGGTGTTTGGATTGTAGGGCGGCAAAGCGGCGCTGTTGGAATAAACAAAAGGACAGTGTTCAGTCATAAATGTCAAATACAAAATCCATTTTTAAAGAAATATGCTGGGGAAAAAATATACAGGGTACCAATGTTGAAACCTCCTTTAAAACAAATTCTAGATACCTGGCTGTCATACTGAATCAGCTGCTTCAGTCATTTCTGAGCTGCTCACCAGGAACAAGTATGCAGATCATGAGTTTTGGCTTCATTGCTCCAGGTCAGTAACTCAACCCAGACAGCCAAGCAACTAGAATTTTTAGAAGGATGTTAATATTTAAAGGAGAACTATGAGGTCAGGGCTTTTCCCCATAGTTCTCCTTAGGGTAACGGGAGGACACAAACTAGCGTCCTCCCGTTACCCTAAGCTCAGTATATACTGAGACGCCGTAGCGGATCCCGACATCGATGTCGAGATCCGCCCAGCTGCATTAGTGACAGCTGGCTCTGCCTATCTAGAGGCAGAGCCAGCTGTACTTGCCCCCTCCCCCGTCCGTTACGCCAGTCAGCGCTGGCGGATCGGAGCGGGGAATCCAGCCCCTCCCCTGTCACGGCAGAGAGCCGTGACAGGATCAAGAGGTGAGCGAACGCCGGTATCTGTTCCCTCACCTCCCGATCTACTGAGCCAACCTGTGACAGTCTCATTGTCACAGGTCGGCAAGAACTATGAGGTGAGTGGAAATCACTCACCTCATAGTTCTCCTTTAAGCATACATGTAGAAATACCACCTCCGTAAGAAACAGTAAGGTGGAAAAAGAAGTTATACTCCAACCAAAAATAGATAAATAATCAGCCTAATTCTAATTAATAATGGCTTACTTTATTAATTAGAAAGATATGATTATTACATTTAAGAGAGTATGAACAAATTTAACATTCATATTTAAGCGGCTGTGCCTGAACTTTATCTTCATTAAAGATCTCAACTTCCCAGTGCTCGCTGTTATACAAGCAATATCCATAGTCACCGTATCAACCCCATGTTCTCTTCATTCTCCTGAGTAGGAAATGCTTAAAAAAATTCTCTAAAATTAGTTTTTTGCTGTCATTGTCCCATTGTGATGTTTTTGTTTTTTTTGTCTTGAGACACAACAGGAAGTAAGAGCAGATCTCTCTAAATTGAGGTAAATACTCTTTCAGATAGTTGTCACCATAATAAGTGTCTTCACTGGAAGATTTCCTCATTATTTGGGATCCAGTGATTTTCCTTCACTTTCTGTCCTGATAACAATGATCACTAGCAGGAATGGAGAGAGTGAATCCCGCAGTGGGGTTATATACTGCTAATACAGTGCAGACAATACATTTACAATTATACTAACATGAATGTATTAAATGATCTGTATGTAGCCCTGTACTATGGATCATTTAACCCATTCATGTTAGCAGAGGATCATTGTAAATGTATTGTTGCAGGCACTCTATATGTACATGTACTATATACTACATATAGAGTGCACTGAACAATAGATTTACAATTATCCTCTGCTAATATGAATGGGTTAAATGATCCGTAGTACATGATATGTAGCCCTGTACCCCCTTTTCCACTTACAGAGCTAGGTTATTTTTCTTTTAAATAAATATTCATGTAATTTTATTGGTATCTATCTACCAGTAGCACAATGAACAATGAACAATCTAGGACAAAATAGCTGATCTGGAAAGTGAGCTGAATTGGAGAATCTTTCCAAATCAGCTATTTTGTCGTAGATTGTTCACTTCTCCTGCCGTCTCCAAACTCGTCACCCTTTTGTGAATAACCCTGTTAGTTTTTGACAAATTTAAAGGTGAGTGTACAGAGATTAAACTATAATATTGTAATGTACTGTATGTGACCAGCAGTGCTTAGAATAAAAAAAACTGTATATTCAAGTCCACCATCGGTAATAACAAATGCACTGGAAAATGGAAATTGGTGACAATGTTTATATCTGTTTGGTTGCTGGTGGGCAATAAGTTTAGCTTATTATAAAATAAAATCCAGATCATACTTTGATTGCAGATATGGTTATATAATCACCATCCATGCAGGATTATTCAATAAATAGTGCAAGGGGCAAAACACAGTACAGTAACCAATTGAAGACCATGGCCTAGTTAATGGACAAGTACAGTGGCTACTCATTGCTTGCTATGGATTTTACACTTTGATCTCTGTGCAATTTAATTACATACACCAGAAAGTACAATCTTATGTCACCTGTAGCTGTTAGAATTCCAGGACATAAATTCCGGGGCCAGACTGGTTGGTCGAGGGCTGATCTGCTGCTCTATAAGGGGATCTTGGCTGTATGATTTTAGCAGGGAGGACGATCGGCTGGCCAGCATGGCTCGCTCATTCCTTCTGAACTTGGCTCGCCTATTCTGAAACCACACCTAAAAAAAGGACAACAAACTGTTACAGAGTGTTTTAGAAATCCTTTATTATGTAACATCTAAGTAAGGATTGAACTGAACTGTACACATTGAGCAACTTTCCCCAAGCTATGGATCAAGAGCCACATGGTACCTCTGATATGCATCCCAGTAAGCAATGGTCATGTGATGAGCAATTGGGGGTGATTTACTAACCTAAACACACGCACGCACTAGGTGCGTGTGATTTTTACACAGCAAAACTTATTTATCAACCAAAAAGTCTCTAAAAGCATATTTCCACTAATGCCATATATGGAAAAATCATGCACATGATGCATATATAATGCTGCTTCACAGTTTAGACAAAAATGGTTAGCTCATGCATTTACATTCCTGCATTCATCAACGCAAGCAACACAACATAGAGCTAATTTACACAACATCACCTTGCAAATTCATGCAGGGCTTTGCACAACACACCTGCTGGGGGTGTACACACTACAAAGGTGTTTAGATTCCACCCATAGATAATGCTGGGAGGGAACACACTACAGAGGTGTATACATGTTCGTGGTGTGTTTATAAGGTTAGTAAATCAACCCCATTGAGTCAAAGGATGGGAATCTCTGAACTTGAGGCTGTGCATAACAAATAACACTAGGAAAAATCAACCGAAATCATTATATTTTTCAAAGCAGACTGCATAAAGTATAAAGGGAAGCATAGCAAATAAATACCAGCATCACCCATTCCAATCTCATCAGTCTGTTAATTCCAAGCTGTGGATATGTTAATGTTGAATTCTGATTGGATGATATGGGTTACAGTACAGTAGCGCCAGTCATCCCAGAAGGTGACTGGTGCCAGACCAAGGAGGAGGGCTTGGAGGGCACTGAAGTAGTGTGGAGAGAAAGAGAATAGTTTGGCAGATGCCTTTTTTTATTCTGGGAGGGGGCTCTATTTAAAAATACCATGCAGGTGGGTGTATGCTTTAATATAGTTTGATTGCTCACCTACTCCCTACTTCATTCCATACTTTGACACACGTGGACCCCGATGCAAGATATGAGGCAGGAACCCTGAGTGTCAATCTTGTACTCACTAATCCATACTTATCATCCTCCACCCCTAAAACTTCCCATACAACTAACATTTCCACCACATTATCTTCTGCATAAAACTCATACCCCACATAACGCCTGCTCTGCACCTATTCCCAATCCTATAACCCCCCTCCCCCCCAACTTGCAAAGTAGTTTCCCTTTGCCTTCAAAGTCATTTAGTTGCATACTTGCTCTAGCTAGGTTGATGGTAACAGAGAGCGCATTTGAATATGACTAGGTAGGCCCAATAGGCCTCCACAGGAGCACTGGTCTAGTTGCAAAAGCAACCTCCACTACCCCTATTTCAACACCACTGAAGCAAAATATAGTTTGAGCTGAAAGAGGCTACCAATGGGGTTATTAAACAGGAAGTCAGCTGTACTTATTACTTTCCTTTCTTACAAACAGTAAAAATGTTATTCCAAGTTTATTTGGTTTTTGTACTTAAAACATTTACATATATATCTGCAAAAGTTACAAATAACTATTTATTTATAAACCGCATTGAACATTTAATGGACTGATCCTTTGAAGAGAAAATCATATCTTATTCATTATTGCACTAAACCTTTCAGCTCATTTTTAAATCCTGCCCCTAGTAAATTGATGTTTTCCTTATATTCACGAGAGCCTGCTGACCTGCATTGTTCTTGTAGAACCTGGGCTGTCTGGTGTGCGCCTGAGACAACTTGCCCTATGAGGGTGCAATAGGGTGGGGAACTGGGCATGTAGTTTAATTGCCACATCCTCCCAGTGATGGTTGCTGCCATACAGTTGACTATCAGCCAATCAAACCTAGCAATAAGCAGATGTATAGTGTCTGTCTTCGCTCGGTCTACATTGTCCCCAAGGGTGCTGGCCATTTCAGCTGGTCATCAGGTAGAGGAGTCTCTGACAATCAGCCTAACTTTTTCAAGAGCAATGAGAATAATTGAATGAAAAAAGCAAAGAGAAGAAGAGCAGCACCACTCCAATAGGGACAGACATATATTTATAGAAGTCCCTCTCTTGGCTCAGTGTAATAATTAAAAGTTAATTGTGATGGGAAATGCTTACATTATTTTTATGCTTATAAGTATTTAAAGACGTGAAATTCTTACTTGTACTCTGGCCTCGCTCAGGTTAACCCTTCTTGCCAAATCTTCTCGTACGAAAGCGTCTGGGTAGTGGGTTCTCTCGAACACTCTCTCCAGGGCCTGAAGTTGGCTACTGTTGAAGGTAGTCCTGTTCCTTCTCTGCTTTTTCTTAATCCGCGCACTTTTTGCACAACCAGAAATAGAGCTCTCACCTAGAACAAAAAAAATATAAACTGCATTATGGAGTGCAGAGGCTGACCAAGGAGCCATTTTCCCCACCACAATAGTACATTATAGCATTCGCCACAGCACCACCGTCAATTAGGGTCAAAATCCTGGAGACTTTGTATTAGGACCACACAAGTACCAGCTTTTTTATAGATTATTTTTCTTTTCTCAGTACTGATAGGCATCATTGTAAAAGTAAGCTAAGTTTGCACCTAGTGTAAAGCATTACTTCTATGTAAAGTGAGTCTGTGTAAACCCTGGTAAATAACTTATTTGCATCCATTTGGCCTGGTACATATATTGTTGAAAGGTTTTTGTTATATCTGTTCCCTAAGTTCAAAAATACATTTAGATCCTGCCAGAAACTTTTAAGATAATAGCTTTCTGCGCTCTCTGTTGTGCTTCACTCTTATCCATGAGTTTTCTTTCTCGTTCTCTTTATAGACTGCAGAACCCTTCCTGTGATATGGAGAAGAGAATACTGCTCCATACATACAGTGCATTGAGTGAGCGTTGTCACTCTAGGACAGGTAATATGTAACTGGCAGAATCCCAATGGTGAAAATAAAGGGGAAAAACCCTGAGAAAAATAAAAACTAATGCAGCAATAACATCTAGCGTCTGGTAAATTACAATATATGCAAATGCTTGTTTATATCTTTGGATATGCTTCCAAGTGGACTTTTACTGTCCATGTATTATTATTATTATCATACAGGTTTTATATAGCGCCAACAGTTTGCTCAGCGCTTTACAATATAAGGAAGACATTACAATCACAATACAATTCAAGACAAGATGGTAAGCAGTGGCGTAACAATCACCATAGCGACCCAGGTGGCCGCTATGGGGGCCCCAGCCAGGACATCCCCCTGATGCCGTGCGGGCCGCCTGGGTCGCTATGGCATTTCAGGCTGCTGGCTGTCACTGGCGGCTGTGAGGAGAAACACGCAGCCATTCACATATGCAGCGGCGCGTACCTCCTCACAGATGCTGAGTCGATGACAATCAGCAGCTTCGGAGGAGGTGGCTGGGCCCGTCGTCGGCAGCGATGGAGGAGGCAGGGCCCAGCGATCGAGGAGGCAGGTCTTAGCGATGGGGAGGCGGGCCCAGCGATCGAGGAGGTGGGGCCCAGTGACAGAGGAGACGGGATAGGGAATCTGCCGCTCCAGGCAAACGCCTTGTTTGCCTCGCGGCAGATATGCCCCTGCCCCTGATGGTATGGTATGTTTAGTGCAATAAAACAAATCACAATGTCCATGATTCCTCCATAACTGTCTCACTTTTTGATCATAGGTATCAATAAATATACCATTTAGTATAAATATACCAAACATCAAACTGTTTTTCTCCTAATTTTATATTTGAGTCTAGCCAGTAAATTATTTCTGTTTATTTTCAACCATGAGTATAAAAGAAGAAAAGATGGTGATTAAGAGGGAATACCTTGTATAAATATATAAATGCTTCATACAGCAAACTAACTGAAAAGCTGTTCACTTAACGGTCGCTGAAAAAGACAAGATTGGACTCTTTGGGATTGGAGGAAATGAGCTTTAACCTAAGCACACAGAAAGGGCAGATAAATTGTAAGGTGTATGGGCACCTTAAAAGCATGAAAGGTAAATGACTACTAATATTTAGAAGAAATAGCATTGTAGAATGTTGATCCAGGAATGATCTGATTTTCTTTCGGGGGGCAGGAACGATTGTTTTATCCCTGTTATAGCAAAAAAAAAACTTTATACTTACACATACTTATACACATTTTTCTCTAATTGTCACAATCGTACATGCATTGTGTGTGTTTTGTCTAAATGCTTTGACACCTATTTATCATTTCAAAACAATTTGCAAGGTGTGAACCTATGAGACCCTCATATAGATTACTCATCACTAAAGTCTCATTTACTGAAAGCAGCAATAGACAAAAACTTTTTTTATTTCTACAAGTAGAGGGCAGGAGACCTGGCTCATGGAATCCCACAACAAAAAGGTTCGGGTTTTCTTTGTTTCCCGAAAATAGAAGAAAATTAAGATGAAATTTGAGCTGTAGCCAGAGCGCATTCATTTCCTGTACCACGCTATATCCTGGCTTGTAACATAAATGCATTTAAAGGCACTGTAAAAAAAAAAAAAAAGCAAACTGCAATCATTTTGTACCCTGTGTGTCTTTCAAGGGCCAATAAAGCTAAAACACAAGTTTGCTTATATAAAAGAACTATTAATAACATGTAGACATAGCTAATAAACACATCATGATGATGATTCAATCTTGGCAATAAAGGGGGAAGCGACGACCATTCTCGAAGCAGGGTCAAAATGAGTTCCCCAAGGGCCATGAACCAAGTAGAGGTATCTGAATAAGCCCTTCATATACACCACTGAGATCAGAGTATTTAGCAAAGCTACAGGGAACCTTTCAGCAATCCAAAGTGAATCTTCCAGCATGTGTTTAAAAATTAAAATCCTGTCTAACAGCAGACATTTCAAGCTGCTTATATTTCCTTTATTAGCCAGAAACCCTTCTCTTTGTGCCTCTTCTTTACGAGGAGCCCTACTTCCCTGAACTCAGGACAAAGCTCTGCCACCCGACATCCGCCCCGCATTTACTGGCCATGGAGGCACTCTCAGGGTAGATTGCAAGCTTGCCCCTTACTATAGTGACACTAAACTCAGGAGTTAAATCTAAAAAATACAATAAAGTACCTTAACTATTAACAAAAATGTATCTTATTTGTGTAACACTCGGCTGTAGACCCTCAAATCATCTCTGAATTGGTGCTGACACTGTCCTTCCTTCTGGAGGGTGGCTACTTTTGTTCCCCATGGTCCCTGTGTGTGTTGTAAAGTAACCACCGCTCCAAGCTTGCTAACGTGATGGACTATAATCTCATTACAAATAAGTAAACTAAACGTGAGATTGTAGTCCATCATGGAAGCAAGCCTGGAGCTTTTTAGTGAATGAGCTTGGAGTGGTGGCTACTTTTACAACACACACAGGGACCATGGGGAACAAAAGTAGCCCCCCTCCGGAAGGAAGGACAGTGTCATCACCAATTCAGAGATTACTTGAGGATCTACAGGCGAGTGATATACAAATGAGATACATTTTTGTTCATAGTTAGGGTACTTGAATGCATTTTGAGGTTTAACTCCTGAGTTTAGTGTCATTTAACAAAGTGCCAATCTGAACCGAAGGAGTCCTGGGGTCGAAGCTAGCCGAAGGATCGGCCGAAGCTACGGCTAGATCCTTAGGCAGCTTAGTGAATAGACCCCTGAAACTCTAGCAGCTGTGCATGGCAACCAATCAGCTTCTCTCTTTCTTTTTCAAATCTTAACCAAACAAACTGAAGAGAGAAGCTGATTGGTTGCCATACACAGCTTCTCTAGATTTTCTCTGATCCAGTGTTGATAAATCTCCCCTAGTGTGTTTACTTTATCCACAATCATGAATGAACAGGAGGTGATGTAGATCACTTACCATTCATTCATAATTGAGGATATAGTAACCATACTATGTCCTCTATTATGCACAAACATTCAGCGATCACTGATTACTGAGTGTTTGTACCCGCTCTCCTCTCTGACATGCTTTCACAGGAGGCTGAGCGAGTGGTCTGGAGGAGAGCACAGCCTCCTGTGACAGCGCTGACTGTCTCCGCTCTCACAATCTGTCACAGGAGGCTGAGCGGTGTGGGAAGAGAGATGCCGCCCCCTCACAGCACTCTCCTCCCGCATCGCTCGGCCAGCTGTCACAGTTTCTCTTCTCCCCGCTGGGACAGAGAGCAGCACCAAGAAGGGGAGGAGAGAATACATGGATGCAGCACTGTATTGGCCACAAAATGGCCCTTTCGGCATTATGCCAAAAGTGCCATTTTCGGCCGTTATGTTTCGGCGGCCGATATATCGGTGCATCCCTAAAATCTGTAGTTTTGCTCTACATTGGCAAAGCACAGAACTTTGTTTTATCCTTAGCAATGCCTGAACTGCCACTCAGTCTTATGAATCCTTGTGGTTTGTCTCCTCACATTGTGCCTCAGGGATCAGGGGATATAAAGCAGGGCTGCAAAGACTCCCCTCTCATCTTCTTATCTTGCTACCCAGGAGGTTTGTGCAAAGCTGTGTCAGATGTCTGCACTTAACATGTGCTATGTATTATTCACAGCCAGCATGCAGAGAAAAATGACAAGGGGCCTCCCATATGATAGTGTCTGAAATATCTGTGTTACTCATAGCAACCAGCCCCATCCCTCCTTTCTCAATGCAAGCTAGATAAAGAAAAGTATAATCTTAGTTGTCGTTGTGGCTATGTCTGATGACTGGAGCATGAATAGAGCTGGTGCCTACAGCCTACACCAGACAGGTTTCCTCTTTCCTCTGATGAGATTAAACTGGCTGCTTTTTTTGCAGTTTTCATGAATCCATAAATCCCCCTCAGGGTTCTTCATTCATAATACTTTCTTTTTTTATACACGAGGCACAGCCTGTCACCCAGAGCTTTGTCTCATCTGGGGTACTAAACAGAATATAGAGATTCCTACCAAAGACCATGAAGCTTTATTCCATAGGCCTTAAAGCAGTGCTGCCTGCTGTAAGGCCATCCACTGATAAGAGATCCTCCAGAGATCCAATTGCTATAGAACCATTCTCTAAATCAATCATGACATGAACATGCAGAGTCACTTTGGCCAAGAATGTATGTATACACTGAGCAGATATCTACAGCCTTATCTTGAAGTAACAATAGATTGATAATATATTCCTCTCCATCCCAAGATTGGTCATCCACAAATTCATATGAGGTGCAGTGGTTTCGGTGAGGCTGCCCTTTAAGTCCTTCCAAGTTTATGCAATATCTGAGCGCTGTAGATAGGGGGTGGCCACTGAAGCCCCAAACACTGTGTAGTGCTCACCCCCTAAGGAGCCGCTGGATATGAATTAGGTTCTCCTACCTGTTTGTTAGCCACCAGCCCTTTTTCTT